GTCTCGGAACCGGGTAAAAGTCACAAAATACGAACATCCATTCGATATTGAGTTCACCCATATCAAAATTACTCAAATCCGATGCAAAATTCTCGATCAAAACCTCAAAACTCGGCCTAGGAGTTTTCCACTTTTTTCACAAATTTATCAACTCAAATCCTTAATTAAATTAAGAATACATGATATATTAGTGGACATTAATAAAAAATGAGTATAAAATCTTTACTTAAATGTTTCCTCTGAAAAAGTCTCGAAATTGCCTTCACGTCGCATCTGTGACCACTGATCACCCCCTTCAGTTCTGCTTCTGCACTTGTCCTCACACTTCTGTAGGCCCGCACTTGCGGTCAAACTTGCACAGGTGTGGTTACACCAGAACTAGTGCACTTTAGTCATTCTTTAAGCTTCAACTTAATGCGTTAACCATCTGAAACCACCCCGGGACCTCAACCAAACCTACCAACATGTCCTAAAACACAATACTAACTTAGTCGATCCTTTAAATCATATCAAACAATGCTAAAAACGTGAATTTCCCATCGATTCAAGCCTAATAAACTTTAGAACTTCAAACTTCTACATCCAACACCCAAACCTATCAAATCAAGTTCGATTGACCTCAAATTTTGTACATAAGTCATAATTGACATTACAAACCTACTCCAAATTCCAAAATCAGAATTCGGCCCTGATATAAAAAAGTCCACTCCCGGTCAAACTTCCAAAAAATCATCCAATTTTCCAATATTCTCCAATTAACGCTAAAATAACCTACGGACCTCCAATTCAATATCTGAATATGATCTCAAGACCAAAATCATCCTACGGAGCTATTGGAACTGTCAAAACCCCATTCCAGAGTCGTCTTCATATAATTCAAACTACGGTCCCTTCGTAGAACTTAAACTTCTAATTTAGGGACTATGTGTACCATTTCACTCCGAAACCAAAAATAAATACTCCTGGCAAGTCACGTAACCACAAAATAAAATAGAGGGAGCAATAAATAGGGGTTTGAGTCTAATACCCTCAAAACGACAGGCCGGGTCGTTACACTAACCTGCCTCACCGGGGGGTGGAATGGATCAACGTTTAATTTGTGTGTGGCGATCTCCTTTGGGATACCTGGCATATCTGATGGCTAAAAGCAAACAAGTCTGCGTTAGCAGTTAAGAATTGACGAAACTTACATGGTTCCTGAAGTATGCAATCGATGTAAGCTTTCTTGCTGTAGTCGTTGTTGTCTAACTGAACGAGGTCGAGGTCCTCTATGGTCAATCCTACAGCTTCGACCGTATCAGGGTCTCTGATGATGTCCTCACTATCATCGCACATCGACCTCTACCCTACTAATTTCTATGCCTCTTTTTCTTTGTCATTTGTTTGTTGGATGGTTGTGCAGTCTAGGATGATGTGGTAGCATTCCTGGGATGTGTGTTGTTCCCCTCGTATACTGAATATTTCCCATGGAGATGGGAATTTTATGACTTGGTATAAGCTGGAGGGGATGGCTCTCATAGTGTGTATCCATGGTTGCCCTATTATAGCATTGTGTGTTGTGTCTTGGTCCATGATATGGAATGTGGTTTCCAGAGTGACGCCACCGGCTAGGACGGGGAGTGTGATCTCGCCGGATGTTTACTCAACTGCATTGTTAAAACTCGTTAGTGTGATGCAGCATGGTACTATCTTATCCTCGAGTTTCATTTGTGCAAGTACTCGAGGGTGGATAATGCACGCGCCGCTTTCATCGTCTAATATGTCTCACATTGGTATCTAAAATTCGTAAATTGATAACAAGGGCATCATAGTGAGGGAAAGCCAAACCGTTGGTATCTGACTTATCAAAGATGATTCTTTCATCGAGTTCATCATACCGTTCGTAGGTGATTATCCTTTTGAGCTTGTGGTTTGTGGTGAACTTCACATTGTTGATAGAAGCATCGTCGCCGCCACCAGTGATCATGTGGATGGTGCGGGTTGGCAAGGGCGGTTTCGGTGGTCCTTGATATTGTTCACGTCCTCTGGTAAAATTTGTCCTTCCCCGATCGCTCAGCAACTCTTTGAGGTGTCCCTGTCGTAGCATGATTACGACCTCCTATCTTAGGGCGATGCAATCCTCGATTTTGTGTCTCCGCTCTTGATGGAACTCGCAAAGGACGTCTGATTTTCTGGTATTCGGGTCTGACCTTATCTTTGTGGCCACTTCACCTTCGGTCCGAGCTTCTACAAGGCGTAGACTAATTCTGTAGGCGACACACAAAAATTGTGAGTGGATAGTAAAAGGGGAATACCTCTTTCGTTCCGGTGAGCCCATATTCTTAATCGGGACAGGCCTTCTTCATGACGGGAAGAGGGTGCAATGACGGTTCTGACATATGGTAGATGTCGTTCCCAATTGGGTCGTAAGGCTGCAAGATATCTCCTCATATCACTTCTTCGATCTTTTCTAGATTCGACTTGCACCAAGGTCAGTCGATGGGTTGGCCCATTGAGGTCGTCCTCATCTGCTCGGACTTTGGCGCAATATGCGTTGTGTATTTCATCCTATATAGTTGAGGGGTACTTCATAAGCCGACTTAGTAACTTTCTTGTTACCCTCGAACCATTTCTGCTTAGCCCGTTTTGAAAAGCTGCGACCACCATCCCTTCCGATACATTCGGCAAGGTCATTCTTACTCGGTTGAACCGGTCGAGAAAATCTCTCAATCCCTCTCCCGGAGAATGTTTAATAGCAAATATGTCGTTTACTCTCGCCTCTGCCTTTTTGGCCCTAACGTGGGCCGTTACGAACTTATCGTCTATTTCTTCGAAGGTTTCAACAGAACGTGCATGCAGTTGTGAATACCATGTTAATTCTCCTCTCGTGAGGGTCTCGCCGATTTCTTTTAACAAAATGGAGGATACTTATTCCTTGGCGAGGTTGTTGCCTTTCACGGTGGTGACGTAGTGAGTCACATGGTCTTCGGGGTCGGTCGTGCCATCGTATATTTTTAGATAGGGCGGTATTTTAAAGGTCTTTGGAATGGCATATGGGGCGGCATCATCACTGTACGGCTGCTCGATGAACCAACCGACATCTCTCTTCGGCAAGAGCTTAGGGGCACCCGATATCTTATCAACCCTTTCTTGGTGTCATCTTATTTGGCCCCGAAGTGCTTTGTTCTCATTTTCCATTTCCTTCATCCTTTTCAAAATGGCTGCGAGAGTGTCATCACCTTCACTATAAATGACATTGTGAGTGATACCTGTCATTGGAGGAGGATGGAATTGACTGTGCTGCTCGTCCACTGGTGGTATAACGCAAGTCCTTGCATTTTCTGTAGCCATGTCTCGAACAAGCTTATGAAGGACGCTGGTCAGTGTGTCAGTTAGCCAAGCCTCAAGGAGCTTTTTTATTGCTGGTGGCGCCTCCTCCGTCACGGATGTGGAGGCTCCCTTACCAAGAGATTTTGTGATGCTGCAGTGGGGAGGGGGTGACCCACCTTGCCTGGGTGAGGCATTGGGTGTTGTGTTCTCGTCCACTGCTTCACCGCTCTCATGGATGATGCTCATGAGGTTGGTTGGGAGGTCGCTCATTATTCTTATTCTTTCTTCTTTGTTACCTGCCATATTAGATCTTTGTATAGAAAGAGAAAAAAAGTTTGTTCTTGTTTTTTTTTTAAACGCTAGTGATTCGTGTTAGTTATAGATCTAGAAGAAATTAGAAATTTAACTAGGAAATCTCTACAGACGGTGCCAATTTGTTTGACTAAAAAGTATAATTTTCTGTTGGAACCATTATATTTATGTAATAACGGGTTAAACCTAGTTAACGATAATATCTCTAGATGCGAATCTTGAAAACATGTATAAGGTGGGACGAATCCAATAAGGGGTTGACAATAAATAGAATTAAATAATCATAAAGTGTGAGCAATAATGGAAGAGTAATTGATAATAAATAGTAATAAATGACATTTAAGTAAATAGGAGAAGTGATTCATACAATAAACAATGAGATATGTGATTATTCCCCCTAACAATGATGAGTGACAGAAAGATCTTAGAACATTCGAAATATTCTCGGATCTGATGGAAATGTGAAGAATGATATGAGAAATAATCTTGATAAAAAAGTAGTCTTTATATTTTTACAAGAGAGAGAGGGAATATCTTTGTGCAAAGTCTGCTCTTATTACCATGAATATCACATGCCTCTATTCCTTATCTATTTTCCTATTTATTTGGGACATACCCCCAATAAATCCTAATAGTACAAGTACAAAGAATATCCAATGGAATATTCACTTTAATATCTTGCCCTAATAAACAAGTCATTACAGCTCTTTTTGCAATGCTCGACATCGACCATCTTTTGCATCTCGACCACGGGTTTCGCCATCTCCTGGTCTACCTCGACTGACTCTTTTCTCGAGGTTACTTAATCCCAAGTACTGAAATAAATTTCGACCTATACATATACCAAAAAATAAGTAGCCGAATCAAAGTCCAAAGTTGCTCAAACCGACAAAATATGTACTCTATCTCAATGTACAAAATAGCGACACATAACATTTAAAGCTACATGGCATCCTAAAGCTCCAAATTCTGAATCTGCCTTTGTCTGAAGGTATAGAAAAATAGTTATGTGATTACAATTTGAACTACTGTAAGCTCAACTTACTGTTTAATTAGTTTTATAATCCATATTCCTAACCTAAGATCATTGTAATGAAAAAAAAAAAGAAGAAGGAGAAGCTCTAAATTGGCATGGATAGTGTAGAGGACAAATATTCTACTGTCGATAGGAGGCTTGGAGTGCTTGGTTATAGTCATAATTTTCTTCTTAACGATAAAAAACTGTTACTTGCCAGCACTGTCTGGGTGGTGTAGTTGGTTATCACGCTAGTCTCACACACTAGAGGTCCCCGGTTCGAACCCGGGCCCAGACACTTCTTTTAGTAAAATTTATTTTCCACAACAACACTCCCTTTAACACCTCTCTTTTTTTTGCTCTCTCCTTTGCTTCAAGTAATCGTTTACCTAAGGACGTTTACTCGGTTTGTCATCCTCAAAAACAGAATCATTTTCATTTGCCATTTACACATTCCAAAAATCACACACATCATCTTCGTAATTACGCTCTCCTTTCAATTATTGTTTTTTGTTTTTTGCACAGCATATCTAGGGTTTCTCGTTGAATCGAAAGGCAAATGGATTGGGGCACGGTGACCACAGAGGATCTGATCGAGGCTCTACGGGAAGTCGACTGGTCATCTCCGCCGCGTCCCCTCTCTGAATTCTTCTCCCGATTCACTTTCCCCAGATCCTCCTCCAAATGGAATAGTCGCCTCAAGTGCAATCTTTACTAGTACGCTTCTATTAATTTTGAATGAGCGAATTAGCGTTTCACATGCAGAATAGTTTCTACCTAAAATTTTCCAAACTGTTTTTATTTTTTTAATCTATTGAATTCACTAATTAGCGTTTGATGAGTAGTTTAATTGCTAAGTTTTTCGAATTTTTCTGTCAATTGCACGGATTAGAGTTTGATAAGTGTATTAGGTGCAATCGATTAAATCTTCATCAAAAAAGTTCTTCATCAAAAAGGTGAAATCCATTAAATGAGCGAATTATCTTTTCATAAGTAGATTAGTTCCTTGCTAAAATTTCTGAGATGTTCTTTTTTTAATCAATTGAAGGCGCGGATTAGGTTTATAAGTTGATTATTGATAGATAAAATTTTCGGAGATCTTATAATTTTTGCTCAATTGAATGCACGTTTGATAGGTTTACTGGTAGCTAGCTTTTTTCCGGATGGAAATGAATAGTGTTTCAGCATCCGATTTGAATGAGCTAATTAGCTTTTCATAAATAGATTACTTACTTGCTAAATTTTTCTGAGATAATCTAATTTTTTGATTAATTGAATATGAAAACTAGAGTTTGATATGTTGATTATTGCTAGGTAAAATTTCCGAGCTCTTATAGTGTTTTAGTCAATTGAATGCATGCTTATGCCTGATGGTGGTATATTAGTAGCTAGTGTTTTCAGATGAAATGAACATTGTTCAGACTTCAGATACGTAACTTACTTCGAAATTGAGTTTTCGTAGAGGTTCTAAGTAATGATCAATCAATTGCATGAATTAATGTTTGTTTAGTAGATTAGTTGCTGGTAAAACATCTCTTAGTTTCTTACATTCTAATAAGTTGAATGCACGAATCAGTGTTTGATAAGTTTTGAGATAGCTACTTTCAGACGGAAATGTACTGTCAGAAGGTACGATTTCATGTGTGTTGTCATCAGAATTTTTTCTGAGAAAGGTAACAGATTTTTATAAATAATCAGAAAAGAAGTCTTTACCACAAAGACTGTGCTAAGGGAAACAAAGTTACAGGAGTCCCCAAAAAGCAAAAACCCAAAAACGCAGTCCTATAATAGTTACAATGACCCAATGATGTCAACTACTGAATCTTCATCTTCTGCTAGGGCCTCTTTACTCCAGAAATTAAACAAAAATATACAATTCATCTTAATTTTCTGTTCAGAGTTAGCTCATCTTGAAAACACCTCAGATTTCTTTCATTCCATATTGTCCGCCAGATGCATGCAAGGGATAATTTTACACCATCTCTTCTGCTTCACCATGTTACCTGGATCATTCCAACATGTTAGCAGCTCAGCAGTTTTCCTAGCCATTGTCCATCTGAGGCCTTTCATACTCATGAAAAGCTGCCATAGAGTACTAGTAATTTGCAATGAAGAAACAGATGACTATTTGTTTCAACCTCTTCCCCACACAAAAAACATTTAGAACACAGCTGCGCCCCTCTCCTCATCAGACTGTCATGTGTTAGGACAGCCTCTTTTACTACCAGCCAGCAGAAATATTCCACTTTAAATGGTGTTCTCGCCTTCCAGATCTGCTTCCAGTTTCATGTTACAAAAATGCTGTTTTTGGCTTGTTGCTCAGACCTGTTCAATATACCATATGCATATTTCAAGAAAAAATACCCCTGCTATTCCTTATCCATGTCAGTCTGTCCTCTTGCCCACAATGCCTTTAAAACCATCCAAAAGTTTGTAGAACTCGATCACTCTAGTCACTTCCCAATCATTTAGAAGTCTTCTGAAGTTCAAATTCCAACCTTGGAGACTCCAAGTCTCAGGCACAGAAGCTTGAGGTTGATTCACCAAATTGAATATGTCTGAGAAGGAATCTTTAAGAGGTTCATTGCCAATCCAGTCATCATTCCAAAAGGAAGTCTTGACACCATTGCCAACCTTCCTATTGGTATAACTATTGAACTTTGGCCAAAGAGATCTTAGTGATTTCCATACAGAAACCACATAAGAATTAGATACTGTCTTAGTGCACTACTGACCCTCAACACGATATTTCAACTGAGGCACTGACTACCCTTCTCCACAGTGCTTGCTCCTCCAGATTGAATCTCTGTAGCCACTTCATCAGTAAACTCTTGTTATGTTGTCTCAGATTTATTATCCCCAGCCCCCTTTCCTTCTTATCAACTGTCAGAGTCTTTCATTTTACCAGGGGGTAACATTATTCTCCTTGTTCCTCGACAAATAAATTTTCTCCTTAAAGCATCCAGCCTCTTCTCAATTTTCACTGGTAGAGGAAAAAGTGACATCATATAGGTGGGAGGGAATCCAGCACACTATTCAGTATTCACTAGGGTAATCCTCCCATCCAAAGAGAGGTAGTTGCTCTTACAGTTGGATAGCTTCTTTTCACATCTCTCCAAAACCCCATTCCATATGTCTTGTGTTTTGTTTTTTGCTCCCAGTGGTAGGCCCAAATATATAGTTGGTAGCTGCCCCACCTCACATCCGAGGGATCCAGCCAAACTTTGAATTTGTGGCACTTCATTCACTATAATAATTTGTGACTTTCTCCAGTTGACATGAAATCCATATATAGCTTCAAAAATAGTTAAAATCAACTCAACTTCAGCATCACAGAATAGCACTGAATCATTAGCTTAAAGAAGATGTTTGACTTACAAATTGCTCCTTTCATTATTTAGCACCTTAAACCCCCTTATCCAACTCTCATGGTTTGGCTTTTCGTCATACAATTCAGCCCTTCCATAGCAATATTTAAGAGGAAAGGCGAGAGTGGGTCCCTTTGTCTTAATCCTCTTTGTGATGGAAAAAAAACCCTCAGGAGAACAATTGACTAGAATTGAGAACCTGACATTACTGATGCAGAAACCTATCCACTCCAGCCATTTTCTTCCAAAGGCCATGTCCTTGAGAACACTTAGGAGATAATCCCAGTTCATATGATCTTAAGATTTTTCAATATCAATTCGCATAAAACCCCAAGAATCTTACTTCTGATTTTAGAGTCAACACTTTCATTTGCTATCAAAGCAATCCATAATCTCCCTACCTTTTATTAAAGGCCATCTATTGGGTATCTACCAGTTTGTGAATCACCTTCTTAAATCTCTCTGTCAACACCTTGGAAATGATCTTTGTACTCACTTCTTATGAGACTTCTTGGTTTGAAAGTTGGTATAATTTGGTATAGAACAAAACCTGGAATTTAAACTAGACTGAATTATAAAGATTTCTTAGTACTTAAGTTTGTAGTTCATCTCTCTCTCTCTCTCTCTCTCTCTCTCTCTCTCTCTCTCTCTCTCTCTCTCTCTCACTTAAAAAAAATAAAAAAAGGTTGTGAGGTACTTATTGGTGCTGTAGGGTTTCAAACTTGTGAAGAAACTATACTAATTCAAGTTCTTTGGATTTTCTCTTTTAAATTGTGCAGCTATCGGACAAATTACTTCATTATGATTGTGACTATTCTTGGTAAGAAGCAAATAATCGTGTATTACTCACTACTCAGTATAGATATGATGTTTATTGGGCTTACGAATAACTTCATGTGTGTTTTGTATTGCAGCACTGGGGTTTCTTAGGAGGCCACTTGCTATTGTTGCTGCTCTTTTGACAACTCTTAGTATTGCTTTTCTAAATGACAGGTAATGTACTTCTTATTTACCGTTATATACATGAGTAAAAGGTTGATGCATAAGGTTTTTGGTTTCCTATAAGAAATATTGTGATTAGATCAAGGTTATAAACCAGGTTTTCCATTATTTTCCTATATAGGGAACATGTAACTCTTAGTTCGGGATTTTTTTTTTTTTNAGGTTACTCGTAAAGGCAAAAAGGTGAAAACAGGGATATATGTCTACGCTGTGGTTGTAGAAGGCTTGCTTGGACTCCCATTTAGGTTCCCTTTTCCCTTTCCATGACTAGGTTAACAGGTTCTATAATAAGTCTTTCTCTGGGAAAAAAGAAGTCCTTGGCCCAAGTTCCCTCAACACCTATGGTGCTTAAGTGAATATGCAGTTTAGAAGTCGTAGCTCTTTTTGCAGTTTACTTTTTTAAAAAAAAGCCATACCTTCTTTTGCTCATGCAAAAGGAAAAATGGGATGTCATACCTCTTTTTTGTTATATTTCTGGTCATATCTGTGAAAATTGACTTGAACTAACTTATCAAAAATAATAAAAATTAGTTTGATCTAAACCTGATGCATTTTAAAGTTAATACTTTGGGCTCTAAACACCCTTCTTGAATTTCTCTCCGATCTTGAAGGATTGAGAATAACGTTTTTAGTATAGAGTTATTTCCTGGGGACTTATTGATCTCTAAAACTCAAATGAGGGGATACTCTTTATATTGTGTGTCCTACAAGAAAATAGAGTACTCCAGATGCAGAGATGCTGGATAAGGAACTAACATCTCACAGGATGCGATCATACCAGCACTAACGCACCGGATCCCATCAGAACTCCGAAGTTAAGCGTGCTTGGGCGAGAGTAGTACTAGGATGGGTAACCCCTGGGAAGTCTTCGTGTTGCATCCCTCTGTTGAGGCAAAATTTATATCTTACCCTTATCAAAAAGGAACTAACATCTCACTTACCCTTGAGCAATCTGGCCTTCAAAGAAAGAAAAATGATTAATGATCTGGATTTTTTTGGAAGTCTCTACTTTTACTTGGATGCTCTATAGGAATTAGGAAAGTAGTTTCCTTTTTCTCTTCCTGGTTGATAAGTTTTCCCTAGGTTGCCTTTTAGCCTCAAGCAAAACGAATGAACCTTAATGTACAGTTGATAAACTTTCTGGTAATTGGTCGATGCTTTAAGGAATAACTGTTTTCTCCATCAAGCTGTCTTCTTTACATTGACTGCAGATTATCTGTTAGCATAGAAAAGCATGTGAAACACAAATCGTCACCGGCAATCTTATTTTTGAGTTTTAAAGTAGTAAGTTTATTTACATCTTGTTGCTGCATCTTTTTCATGTTGCTAATGATTTTTCCAACAGTTTCGCAGGTACTTTTAGTGAAAAGGTGACAAGAACTGTCAGACAGTTTTCTCCTCATTTAGCTGCAAAAATGAGGCCTCCACTCACGTGAGTCTGCATAAATTTGAGGTTTAAAAGCAAACCGGATGCACTACTGATACTGAAATATTGACCATTTTCAGGCCAGTTATTCGAGGACGTCCATCTGCTAAACGAGCAATTTACATTTGTGGAAGGCCTCGTTGGGTGTTTGTCTTGGCATTCTCTCTAGGTATTGGAAGCTTTAGGCTCTTCTATCGCGTCACTGTTTCTTCCCCTCTGTGGTTTATCTTTCCTATTGAAACTTCAAGAGTTTTGAGATGAATTGGTGTTTTCTCCCTTTTCTACATTTTGCAGCAAGTTTCACCCTTTGGTTTGTTTCCTGTGGCCTCTTGACTGTCTTATGGGCATTGGCTATAGGACTTCTTTGTAAGTATTCTCTTTCTTGTTGTGAAGTGTGTTATTCCAAATCCTATGTTTCAGCATGAATAATGACTTCTCTCTGTCTTCTCTCTCTCTCTCTGCAGCCACTCTTCTTCATGCAAGCTTTAGGACACCTAATTTGAAGGCTCGCCTTAATACATTTCGTGAGGAATTTCGAGCTGTTTGGCGCAACTATAGTGAGCTGTAGCTTCAGCAGAGTTCCATTTCGTGTCAGTTACTTTCCTGAGATCTGCCATTTTGTTTATTCATTCTCTTTATGGTTGTATGCGCTGTTTGTTTTGTTGCCTAGTGTTTGTAAGTTAACATGGTCTACTCATGCTTGAAATAATTTTCCTTTTACTTGCTAGTACAATTTTCTTTTCTTCAATGAGCTATTAACTCTGTATTTCCCTTCGCTAAAAATAAAGGACAATATTTGTTGAGCCGTTGTCTAAATACTTCTGCTGAGGAAATGCTATGCCTCTCTGTTCACTTTCCTCGTGCACTTGCATATCCTTGTTTGGAAAAGAATCAAAGAAGTTAAGTTGTCAAACCTACCTCAGGACTTCTCAAACATTGAGGTTGCGATTGACTCAACTGAAGCATTAGTAAAGGCAAGGATTATGTAAACCTAAGAGAAGACTGGATCTGCAGGCAGTAGAAAGTGCACTTTGAGGAAAGTAGTACTAGTTTTATGAGACTGCTCTTGGGGTTTGAACTTGTTGTGCGAAGAAAATATTCAAATGAAAATTATCGCGAGAAACTACACACTAAGCTTGTCTCTGGCAAAAATAATAAACATATTTTGGAGAGAGCTTGTCCAAGAGATTCTTGGAGCTTAAGAAAACAAAGTATAAGGTGCTTTCTTGGTTGTTCTTAATTATGTTCAAAGCATGATGAGTTACTGTATAATTTTATGCAGACTGATGAACTGTTATTGCATCTTATTGGCATTTTATCTGTCTGCTCTAATGTATTATTTATTGGCTTCATTTTGACTTTATGGTTGCGCTATCCCTTGTCACTTCAAGCAGGAAGTTTTTTGTTTCCTGGACCTTTGTTTCAACGTTCCTCTTTAATTGTGGAACATTATCATATTTGTTTTGGGTATACCTCAATCCCTCCAAAGCTTAATTAATATAGCCTTCAGCATCTTTTGCTTTTTTCTTTTTGCCCCTTTTTGGTGAGAATTCTAAAGGTCATTGGATAGTTTCAGGCTTCTATCGTTCTTTACCAAGAAATCTTGTGCAGTTTGGCTTTGAAAAACCATTATTAAATCACATTTACGTCAAAAGCATAGAAGCATGAAAATGACTAGCTCCTAGATTGGCCTCTCTCGTTCTGTGATTTTACCAGCAATCTATAGGCAGTTTAGCTTTAAAAGCTGTTATTAAGTCATAGTTATCGTCTAAGCTTAGAAGCATCAAAGTTTAATAACTCCCAGATTCAACTTAGTTTTTGTTGAATTGTCTTTTATGATGACGGTTGAGTAGGACTTGTTGTAACTGTCTCTTTTCTATTTGTATAGGAGCAGCAGTTCTGCAAATTTGCTGTCATGTGCGGATCTTTAATATGGTGTGCTGATGCAATATATAGTTTTCTTTGACCCGGCAGCTGAGCTCTCAAGTATCATTCTGCAATATCTTCGGATCAGCCACGGGTTGTAAATTTCCTTGATTCTTACTTTTACGGTACTGATTTCTACGATTCATGTACGTTTGAAATGACTACTGGATTTAGGTGCATAGTAGGAATTCCCTAGAAAGTTGGGGTCTGTATTAGGAGTCCATTATTAATGCCTTTGCGAAACTCCTTGTTACTCTTAATGTTCAAAGCTGCAGTAAAGCTTCTAGTGAGTTCTGTCTTAAAGTTTTCGCCCGATCTACTATTAATATTCCCAGGGGTGTCTTTTTTCCAAAAGGAACTTTTTCAAATCGCCTTGTGGGTTAACGATTATGATCTTGTTTTCGACAGCTGCCTGCCCGTATTCAAACTGAGGATACATGTTTTGTCAGATTACTTGTTATTCTGTGAAACTTGAAAGGAGATTCTCTCAGGGGTTGGGGCTGCTCTCCTTTTTTATGGTTTCGTTCTCTTTAACTTGCCAACTTCTATGCCAATTGCGTGTTTTGAAATACCAATAAAAAAAGGAGTATCCTGGTGATAATCTCTGGAAAAAATTCTATAATGTGAATGGCTGACTTTAGCTAATTTAGGACATTGATTATCTCTTCGTGTTGCAGCAGCTGCAAGAAGCTACCCGTGTACTTAGAAAAGTTTAAAAAACATCTAGGAGTTTTGGAACTGTTATAAATCTGGAACCAGCTGCATTAGAAATTCAAGCGCATGATCCATTCCAGTTTCATTTCTCAAATATAGAAAGTTAGAAACATTGACCTAAATCAGCTCGACATTGAGAAATTTAAGTCAGTTTCGTTTGTTTTTCTTTTTCAGATTTCCAATGCACTGTGATGTATAAAATAAAAAATGAATAATAAGAGGAACATTAAGGCGTACAGGTTGAAATATTCCCTCCTAGTAAGTTGAGAAGTCACTCCCTAAAGTGAACTTTGAAATGAAAAGTGCCCATGCATTTGGCTGGCTAACCATGCAAAACGAAGATGCTTTCTAGCTTTTCGTCACTATCTTATTACTATCCAATTATTTTCCCTATGTGACTTAGCTGTTAATAGATTGTACGCATCCAGAATAATATCAGACACAGAATCACTTGTAATCTTGCGAACTTTGCACTAAAGTGTTACATTACATGCACCAACCTAGCATGCTTACTGACCATGTGGGAAATTTAACATTAAATCAACACACACACACACATCGTATATGTATTGCAAAGAACTTGCTTGTCAGTGATTGGCCATCAGCCAGTGGCAAAAGGTAAATTTCTAAGTCTCAACTGTTTTTCCTAGTATTCAATTTGAAGTGTACAATTCGCTGTTTTAGAAAAGGCTTTTTAATGAACGTTACCTTGAGGCTGTAAAGTGTAAACATATTGTGTCAATCCAGAATCATATCGGACATACTATCGCTTTTAATCAGCTGGACTTCGCCCAAAAGTAGTACTGTAGTAATAAATTACATGTATAACCTAACTAGCATGCTCAGTTGCTGACCATGTGGGAAATTTATTAAAGGGCCTTACTATGAAAAGCATTGAGGATCCATTCTGTATCCCATTGTTCACTAATGCAAAGTATGAAGGTAGAAAGATCGGAAAAACACCATTTATCATAAATCAAACACAATCAATTAAATTCCATATCAATATCCTAATAACTTTTATATGCGCAATAATTTATTAAACTCTTATTACCATACCAAATGACATGTAAGTATAAATTAAATAAGTAATAGGAGACTTCAGGAATGCTTCTAGATGAGCGAAAAGACTACAATCGCCTCTTTTTCTTGAACTTTACGCTTAGCAACTCTTACGTTCAAATCAGGATGTTGTTTAATTGGACTACAAATTACAAATGTCTGAAAAATTCTATTGCTATTTCACGAGGCAATCCACATCAAATAATGAAAGAAAATGATCCACAATAATGATAGAATCTCCCTCTTTGAGCGTCTCTCAACAAGTAATATTCGCCCACGAGAAAATTCTCACATAAACAAAATTGACTACAAACTTCAAAAATGTCATGGGCCAAAAATATCCCGAAAAAGTGGGATTTAATCATAAATAAGGGGAAATAACGTAGATTTACTATTGATCAGTCGCTATTCATTTTTAATTAATACAGGCTGGTCCATGTTGTGTTGGCTTCTTTCAAACTCAGATCATATGTGCACCACTATTTCTATCAACCAAACTGCCTCACCCTTTTTCCAACTTAATTAACTTCCAAAAATAAAAGATCCCATATTCCTTTTTTGTATTCCTCTTCAAAAACCAACATTCTTTTCCTTATTTCCCCCCCTAAAAAGCTACTGGTCTCATATATAGTTCCAAGAAACATACTACTAAAATCCTTATTTTTTTGGATTAGCAAGTGAGTTCTCTTCAATTGATTCAAGGACGTTCATCATTCAGAGATCCCCAAAGGGAATAAATATTGAAGGAAGATTGATTTATTATGGGAAATTACATGAAATATATACAAGCTATAGCTTCTGTATGGGTTATTATGTTACTGTTAGGTCTCCTATGTTGTTGCCTTAGCAGCAAACCCCGTTTTCAAGGTGACAAAAGCAGTAGCACTGGTGGTTGCACTTGTGATGGTGGCTATGGCGGTGTCTGACCACAGGCGGAGTCAGAATTTGAAACTTATGGATTGAGAATTGAAGTCTTTTTAGGTTACTGAGGTCTAAATTAATAGTTTGCACATATTCAAATATAGAATTTTTTAGATTTGCTATTAGCTTTGGGTCAGTGATTATGAGTAAGAAATTAGAAAATTCTTGATTTATTGAGTTCGTTTAAGCATAGTTAACATAGTTTCGCTCTTCTTATAAATCATTCATGTCTTTCATTTCATATATAGTTATTCTTTGAGTGAATGTTAATTGCAGTGTCATCCTTTTTGTGATTACGGATTAAATTCAAATCAGAGTTAATAAGTCATGAGGGGTCCTATCCAACCTTCAACTGTGGCCTAGTAATGGCAAATTAGAATATGTATATATTAGTTGTCCATTTATATATATATATATATATATATATATATATATATATATATATAAACGAAATCACAAAAAAGACTTTTGACACTTATAGTCTAAAACAAATCATAAATACTTATCTTGCTATAGATCATTGAAAATAAAATATGAATTATAAAATTAAATTATTTTTAAATATATAAAAATGACATTTTATGACATCCTCATAAAGAGTAGTATTATTTTTCTTTTAAATGGTAAGAGGGGAGGGAGAGAATCAGAGAATGCAAACGATTGTTACTCTTTCTTTCCATTTACACGATAGTATTATTTCCATGTTAGACAATCCCAAAATTAATTATACATTTCTATACTTGGAAATAATTTAACTTTAAATATTTCGCTTTACCTTTACGATATACTTTTATTGCCAATAAAATCTCATGATATATTTAAAAACACAAGTTTCAAAAATCTTTCTATAATTTTTAAACTACATGCCAGCCAATACATGTACCTTAATAGAGTTTTTTTAATAGTACAACACTTATTAAAGATTATTATCATAAATTATACTGCTATTATTTTTAATTTATTTCAAAAATAAAAAAATTAATTTACAATTAACATATTTCAAAGTTTTTAAAATAAATAGGATCCACGAATTAAGGATTTGTTTTACCTTATTAATTTTTTTCCTTTCTCTATATTCATTATTATATAGTCAGACCTCTCTATAACAACATCCTAATATAATAGCCATTTACTATAAAAGCAAGTTATTCTCGAAATTGATCTTTATATTATGTTATAATATATTTTCTCTATAACAACACTTAGGGAGGTTTGACTGTATAGCAAATTATTGTATAATACTTCATCCGTTCACTTTTACTTGTCCACTTTGGACGTTTTACGCCCCTTAAAAAATAATAATAATTGCAGTATGTATTTTACCATATAATAATGATAGCATTGTATACAGTCTTGGGAAATATTTTGAAAATGAGTATTTAGTGATAAGGGTAAAACAAGAAAAAAATTGTCGTTATCTTGATTTGGTAAAATGGACAAATAAAAATATATATATTTTTAATATAGTGGACAAGTAAAAGTGAACTGACGGAACAAATGTTTCAAAAAGTTAATTGCCGGTAAAATAGGGAACAACTTTGGTCATTTAAGATTGTAGTTCCTCATCATTCTTAAAATCATTTCCTCTTTCTCTCCTCATTTACTTATAATTATACCTTTACTATACCAATTATATAATTAAATATTGCTAAAGAAATATGCAATATAATCGAATTATTCCCTAAATATATGTACAATATATACCAATTATATACATTATACAGTTATTATATATGCAAAGTTCCAAGTTTGTTGGATTTATATTAGTCTTATTTCCAATTGTTTGGACACACTTCGTATATTATTGTACCTGTTATATTCAAAGTTTATTGTAATAATTTCGTTCTTGTTGATCTTATTTTTTTAACTGTTAGTTGTGGTATATATTAATATACCTATTATAAAAAATTGCTATATTTTTTTTATTTTATTTTATAGTTTGAGTTAGAATTTATACGAGTAATTTGTCTATAACTAAGAGATAAAAGGAGATATTCCATAGAGATGTAAAGATCAGTCATCTTTTAATACAAGTTTAACGTCTGAAACCAATTAATACAAATTTATTTGAAGTTATCTTTAGGTGTTGTTATTTACGTGAGTTGGATTCCTTAATTTAAAGAGAATCTGTTATGGTAGGTTGATCTTTAGTTGCCATGTATTGTTAATCACTTAATCCTACTATGATTTTCTAACATTTCTATAAATATTGCACAATTATATTTTTTTACCATAAAAAATGAAGCACTTCAACGGAATGACATTTTTATTTTAAAACGTTTCTTCTAGCAGTATCAAACGACAGGACAGGATGAGCTTGAGTAGAATAATTCATTAATATTTCATTCTGTCTTTCTTGGAACTAAACGTAACGTTACAGATTAAACTGCACAAACAATTATAAGTTTTATAGTAGTGTCAAGACTAAGGCAGCAATCATTTAATTGTGTATGCGCAAGAGTTTAGTTTTATTGTCTGTCAAAATTTATACGCTTTATTTGAAATAACAAATTAATTCCCTTTAAGATTTGCATACAATAGTACACAATAGAGAAACATAAACAAAGAGCACATCTACTCTTATGTTAAAATCAAATAACGTTACA